CTCCTTTAGTTGGTCTCGATACATGAGCCCAGTTAGAACACCAAGACTTAATAGCTGATTCAGATTTTAAACATCCCCAAAAGTGGACATTAGTCAACTGAGAAAGGAGAAGTCTAACAAATGGCACTTGAATGAGGGTGTGAGGGGGATGCTAGAAGAGATGCACTAGGTAAGCGGGGGAACATGCAATGAAGACTTTATGTTATAGACATACTTTACCCATATATAAAATCCTCTGTTGTACATAAGGTTTTAGAAGACCTATTGTTTTGGAAGTGGATGGCCAATCCTTCTTCCTAGTCTAGTCTTAATTTGAATGCTTGGTTTTAAAACAGTATGACAGATAAGCATGTTACTGAAAGAAGCACATGAAGATCATTTCTCAGTTATTGTTGTTTGTTGTTGTTAAGTGCCATTGAGTCGAAGACAACTCATAGTGACCCTATGAATGAAAGTCCTGGACACTATAATTTTCATCCTTTCCCCAGGGTCATAGGGTTTTCAGAGGCAAGCTATTATGGAAGTGGGTCCCACTCCTGCTTCCAAGCTTGTTTTAGTCAGGCATACCAGGGATACACGACCTAGAAGAGTGTTTTACCAAAAACAGTTAAAGGCAGGCCTGAGGGTCATGAAGTAGAATCACTCACCTTTGGCTTAGGAGCATGACTTACTGTCTGCTAGGCCAACTGCGCACACTCGCTCTATCTATCTATATCTCTCTGTCTCTCTCTTTCTCTCATTGTTGTTAAGTGCCGTCAAGTTGTAGGTGACTATGACTGAGAAAGGACGAAACTTATACAGGTGTCCAGGACTTTAGTTCATAGGGTCGCTATGAGTCACCTATAGCCTGACAGCACTTAATAACAACAGCATAGAGAGAGAGATCAGTTGGCCTAGCAGACAGAAAGTCATGGTCCCAAGTCAAAGGTGGGTGGCTCTACTCCATGGCCCTCAGGCCTGCCTTTAATTGTTTTTGGTGAAACATTCTTCTAGGTCGTGTAACCCTGGTATGCCCAATTAAAAAAAGCTTGGAAGCAGGAGTGGCATCCACTTCTATAATAGTTTGCCTCTGGAAAATCTATGAATCTTTCACAATTATAGAAGTAATCAACAACTTAGGTGTTGCTCCCCTGCCCTTGGCACATGCATCTTTCCCCACACTACCAGCATCTCCTTCCATTCCCACCGACCCTATGCTCTACAGACTGATAGGAGAACAAACAGGTTGGCTCTGGAGAGGTTGAAACCAAGCTGCTCCTTGGAAGCAAGGATTCTGAAGGTCCACCTGACATAATTTGGGCGTCTTGCAAGGACGGACCAGTCCTTGGAGAATGACATCATGCTTGGAAGAGTGGAGGGACAGCTCAAGAGAGAAAGACCCTGGATGAGGTGGATTGACTCAGTGATTAGGGTTATGGGGGTAGGTGTATCAGAGACAATGAGGTTGGCCCAGGATAGAGTAGGGTTCAGAATTGTTGTCGCTAGGAGTCACAAGCGACTCAATGACACAGAGCAATAACAACAACATATATAACCCTCTTTCATGATAGTTTTTATTGTATTTTATTTAATTGCTTAGTGTTCTGACTATTCTGGATGATATGATGGCCTCTCGCGTCTTGAGGAGGGACACAAATGGAACACTCTGGGCTCTTAGGGCTTTCGTTTCTTTCCAAGTGGGTATCTGCAGATGGAACTTGCCCAAGGAATTGGGAGTCTCTGACTCATAGTCTATCAGCATTTGGGTGTGCTGAAATTTAAAAGTGCTGTACGGCATTAATTGATTTTGGATGAACACTTGAGTGGTACAGCAGTGGTCTATTTGCTCTACTGAAATAACTTAGAGTTGCCACAGGGCTGGACAACAGTACCATAGATGGTCAAACACCTAAATTAGCTACCCATCATGGGCAGTGTTTGGTGGAGCTCTCAGGTTGATTCAGGTTGGAAGCAGAAGTGGCATCTACTTCCTAAACGCACATGCCTCTGGAAAGTCTATAAACTTGGGGAAATGATGATACTTTGATAGTTAAAGAACGGCTTCTGGCCTTTTGTTCAACCGTGTGTGTGTGTGTGTGTGTGTGTGTGTGTGTTTATACAATATATACTATATATATACAATATATTTGTTGTTGTTAATTGTTATGTGTCATCGAGTCGTTTGTGACTCATAGCGACCCTATGTACAAGAGCCCTAAACGCTGTTCTATCCTATGCCAATCTCGCTGTCTCAAACACATTCATTCCCACCACTCCACTCACAGAATCAACCCATCTCATCGAGGGTCTTCCTCTCCTGCGCCATCCCTCCACTCTCCCAAACATGATGTCCCTCTCCAAGGACGAGTCCCTCCTTGCAACATGCCCAAAGTATGTCAGACGAAGCTTCAGAATTCTTGACTCCAGGGAATATCCTGTCTTCACCCTCTCCAGGACAAACCTGTTTGTTCTCCTAGCAGTCCATGGTATATTCAACACTCGTCTCCAGCACTACAACTCAAAGACATCAATTCTCTTTCTTTCATCCCTGTTCACTGTCCAACTCTCCGATGCATAGCATGTAATTGCAAAGACTATAGCCT